GCCGCCGCTTGAGTGGGGCAACTCAGAATAATAACGTGCTGGATTAGTGTGATCCTAGTTCATTTTATTACTTAATTAATTGCTGTGCTGTATGTGTATAGGTCAATGCCAGGGATCCCAACGTGAAATAAGCAATTTCAGGGAGGTGTCCCTCTCATTTCAGTGAGGTGCCCTCTCCCCCCCCCCATCTGCGGAGGGGGGTTAGGGGGGCAGGGAGAGAAATGATGGCAGATAGCACAGGAAGCAATAGCTTCTTTGCTATCTGCAGACTTTTTTTTTTTTTATTAGTATTCTGCCAATTGCAGTTGTCAGAATAATAAAAAAAAGGCATAAGAATGCTTAGCTAGATTCCTATTGGCTATTTCACTTTGCAATAGCCTATAGCAAACTAGCTATTGCACCCACCCCCTGCTGCTTTCAATCACCAGAAGAGGACCTGATAGAAAAATTCAGTGCAATAGCCAATAGCTATGCAATTGTATGCCTTTTTTTTTCTTTTCTGACTGACGGTCAGGCCGCGGCTCCCGATGTAGAGAGGTGGGTACGGATCAAAAGAACTTTGATCGATCAAAATAATTTTGATTGATCAAAAAATTAACGATTAATCGAGGGATTAATCGTTAATTTCCGCAGCCCTAATTAATATGTATTATGATAACCTTTAACTAATTTGTCAACAACTGATCTCTTCACTTGTTCTGCATACTAGACTTTATACTGAGTACATTTCATATGGATTTATTAACATTTACTGTGTTTGCATTGTTGTTTTGCAGATTTTAATAATAAAGTTTCAAATTTAACTTTGTCTTCAGAATTGTTCTCAGCCAACAAACTATTTATCCAGTCCAAGGAATACCATATGGGACAATGGAAAACCAAGGCTCACCCCACCTAACAGCAGTTTATCCAGTGTGCCTATAAGGAATACAGTGGGCAAGGGTAATTTCCCCATATTTTCTTTTATTATGAATGTTGCTATTTGGTAGATTTGTGGATAGCTCAACTTCCCAAACTATTTATTTTATAATAAACAGAAAAAATACCTACAATATCAGGGTTTGTACAACACCCCTTTTCATTAGGGCTTGAGGTACAGTCTGAAAAGGATGGTGGACCACCATTCAGGAATTCAGGGTTAAGGATGCTCCTTCTTCTAAAGCAGGCTTCAGAAGCTGGCTTAAAGTGGCCTGCTGCTCATGATACAATAAATAGATCTTGAATCTGAAATTCTTGCACTGTTGTCTAACCAGAACCATTCCACTTTATGAAACAGACTTTATCCCCAACTGAAACTGAAATACCAGAGGATCCAACATCACACTCTGGAATCTGATATGAACCTTGACAGCTGAGGGGTTGTTCACACTAAATCCGGACCAGATCTGCATGTGTTTCTGCACATGCAGTGCAGTGTGTTTTGCTGCGTTTTTACCGTGTTCCAGGCCGTTTAAAAAAAAGCTTAATATGGGCTTTCAGTGAGTTCCAGGGCGTTTGCATGCGTTTGTGGTGTGTTAGCATGTGTTTTGGTGCATTCCAGAGCAGAAAAATTAGGGCATGCTGCAGTTTTTCCGGTGCATCCCTAGTTATTATTATACATTTCCCCTGACCCCCCCTCCCAGGTTCAGCAGTGGTGCCGATTAACCCCTCCCTCTCACTGCCCTGCTCAGACAAGCTTTGGTCCGTCAGAGCAGTCTGATGCATAGCGTCGGGCAGGCTAGTGCATCAAGCATAGCAGGCAAGGCTGCATGCAATCAGGATGATTGTGTGCGGGCCCTCTTCTTCTCCTCTGGGCCCTCCCCAACACGCAGAACGCCAGGGCCCAGTCACGATTGCGACCGTGGTACTTCCGCCAGTGGCTGGGGCCCTGTGCTGCTAGGGCCAGGCCTCCTCCAGCACTGCGGGGGCCCGGCCACCCACTCACCTTCCACCATCAGCCGATACTCAAAGTGTATACCTTTAGGGAGCAAAAATAAAAGATCAAAGACTAAACCAATATGGTTTAACCAGTTGACATCCGCGGTGTTAAACCCCCTTCCCATCCAGGCCATTTTTCAGTATTCAGCGCTGCGGTACTTTAACTGACATTTATTACGTCATGCAGCGATGTACTGAAATGAATTTTATACCCTTTTTTGGGGACAGATAGAGCTTTCTTTTGGTGGTATTTATTCACCACTGGGGGTTTTATTTTTTTACTATATTAAGGAAAAATTACCGAAATTTAAAAAAAAAAACAGTTTCCCCTATATTAAATGATAAAACATTTATTATTACCCAATTTTTTGGTAAAATATAAAAGATGGGGTCACGTCGGGTAAAAAGACACTAAACATGTCAAGCCTTAAAATTGCGTGCGCGCGCGAAACCTCAAAAAACGATAATACCCAAAATTGGCCCTAGGCGACGCTTTAAAAGCTGTTACCGCTCATCAGTTTAGTGTTATCAGTGATTGATGGCCCTAAAATGATTGCTCTCACTGCGACGTTCGCGGCGATATGTAACATGTGTAGCGCAATTGTAAT